GAATCTCAGGTCCCAAGCAAATCTACTGAATCTGCATTTTAACAAGATCCCCAGGTAATCCTAATGCACATTTAAATTTTGAGAAGCACTGGCCTAGAACATAACTGAAAATAGGTGTCATCTTATACTTTTTTAAAATTTTTATTTATTTATGATAGTCACAGAGAGAGAGAGAGAGAGAGAGAGAGAGAGAGAGGCAGAGACACAGGCAGAGGGAGAAGCAGGCTCCATGCACCGGGAGCCCAACGTGGGACTCGATCCCGGGTCTCCAGGATCCTGCCCTGGGCCAAAGGCAGGCGCCAAACCGCTGCGCCACCCAGGGATCCCTCATATTATACTTTTAAAAATCTTTGGAACCCATACTGAGCCTTTTTACAAATATATACTTAATTTTAACATAGCTACCTAGTTTCACAGATTAAGAACTGGGAAATACCACTAACAACAAAGAGAGAAAAGAGAAAAAAAAATACTAACAGAAAGCAATTTCAAAAAGAGATGGTTATACAGGGCCATTTAACATAGCAACAATCTTCCCTTTTTGCCTAGACAGGTCACTGTATTACAGAAGTATAATAGTAACTGATCTTCTTAAATGTGCCTACTCTAACTAGACCACAAATTCCTTGAGGACAGGGACCTAGTTTTATTCTTACACACTTATATCTACAAACTGAGTGACGCTAAGTCACTGAGGTAAGTTCAGGTTAGGCAAAGAGATATATAACACATTTCAGAAAATTTTCCATCTGACAAAGGTACAATAAAAACGTGAAGTGGGATGCCTGGGTAGCTCAGCAGTAAGTATCCAACTCCTGGTTTCTGCTCAGATCATGATCTCAGGGTCATAAGACAGAGCACCGCGTGGAGCCTAAAGATTCTCTGTCTCTCTCTCTCTGCCCCTCCGCCCCCACCTCCCCACCACACATGCTCTCTTTCTCTCTCAAGAAACAAACCCTCCCCCTTCCATAACAACCTCTTCACCAGTCTAAGAACAGAGGCTTTACCAAATCTATGGCTCCAAATCCAAATGTCTTCTCTGACTGTATTCAAACTCGCTCCTAGGGTACACCCGAGTGGAGCATGCAGAGAAAAAGATTACATACATGGGAATTGAAGCAGAGCAGGAACCAAAGAACCCCTCTGGGTTCCTCCATTCATAAAAATAAAAACGACAAAAATTGAAAGCCACAAAAAAGATACAGCAACCGTAGAAGAGAACACATGCTACTTTTAACAACTATTAATTCCATGTTCTTTGCCTGTGAATCACTGGTATTCACAATCCTCCTAAGAGCTTCTCAGAGATACTTTAGAAACATTTCTCCTCATGGCCTCCAATAAGCTGATCAGAGTCAGTTTATGATACAATTCACCCTTCCAAGACAGCACATTTATGAAGTTCGAGTCATTACTCCCCAAATAATCATTAGTTTTCTTGCCTGTGTCCATGCTCCAGCCATTACTCCATTCAGAGCCCTTTCCCATCAGTTAATGCACTATCCAGTATGTTAGCCACCAGCCGTGTGTGGCTACTTAACATTTGAAATGTGGCTAGATCCAGTTGAGATGTCAGGTAAAGGTAAAATAAAATATATGTTGAATTTTGAAGTGTTACAAAAAGAGATGTAAAATTGTCTAATTGGTTTCTTTTAACAATATGTTGAAATAATATTTTGGGTATAAGTAAAAATAATTTCAACTGGTTTTGCTTTGGTTTTTAATGTGGCTACTAGAAAATGTCAAATTACAGGGGCACCTGACTGGCTCAGTCAACGGAACATGTAACTTTTGATCTCAGGGCTTTGAGTTCAAGCCCAGGTTGGGTGTAGAGATTACTTAAATTTTTTTTTTTACATCTTTAAAAAAAAAAAAAGGAAATTTTTAGATTACATATGTGGCTTACATTACACTTCCACTGGACAGCACTAGTCTAAATCCTGCGGACTCTTCAAGGCCTAATTCAAACATCTTTGCTTCCTTGACGCTTTCTCCAATAACTGCAAGTGGAAGTCGCTTCTGTCCCCCCTGAAACCCCATAGCGCTTTCACTCACATTCCCAAAGAGCTGGATCAATTTAACTTGCTACTGAGTGTAACTGTCACAGCTCCAATATAAGCAAATTGAGAAAAGAAACTACATCCAGGTCACCGGTGCGTCCTCCTGCTGAATCCTGGAGTGCACATGCACGCACCTAGGCGGTACTGGATGTCTGCGGATTCGGGGCTGGGTTTCTCAGTTACCACCTTATCTGAACCTTTCGATGATCCCATTTCTTTCTCAAGGATTAAAGTCCACGTCTAAAAAGTCCCGTATGGGGATCCCTGGGTGGCTCAGCGGTTTGGCGCCTGCCTTTGGCCCAGGGCGCGATCCTGGAGACCCGGGATCGAATCCCGCGTCGGGCTCCCGGTGCATGGAGCCTGCTTCTCCCTCTGCCTGTGTCTCTGCCTCTCTCTCTCTCTCATCTCTGTGACTATCATAAATAAAAAATTAAAAAAAAAAAGTCCCGTATGATTCTCAGGCCAACAGCTTATTACACGAGCTGTATACATGTCATAGAATGAAAAAGCAAATCTGAAACTATCTAACACATATAGTCCATGTACTTCAACATAAAAATTCAAAAAGCCTCTAGAGGCTCTATCTTTTTTTTTTTTTTTATGATGCTGTCCCTAAAAACGTCTTGTAAAGATCAACTATTTCAAAAGTAGGAAGGAGCCTTTCCCGAAGACTAGCGACACCGGATAGAGCCCACCAAAAACATGACGGGAGGGGCCCCCCGGTTGCGCCGAGGCGGCCGGGTAGGCGCAAAGGCTGGGCAGCGGCGAGCGCGGGGCCGCACAGGTCGGGCTCTGGGGAAAGCGGCAGGAAGAAAGACGACTTGTGGGGCCCGAATAGTCAGAACCGTTGAAACGCAAAACGAATAAAAACTAGAATAAGAACTATCTCAAGTCTGTGGGCAGGATCCTCCGCGGCGCGGCGCTCCCCCGCAGGCAAGGGTCGCGGGGTCACGCCAAGGGCCGGGTCCTCAGATGCGACCCCCGCGCCTCGGACGTGCGTCCCCGAAACTTCCTCCCGAACCACCCTACTGGAACTCCCGGGACCACGGGTCTCGGCTGAGCCCTGCCCTGAAGCCAGCCTCCCCAGCGCGTCCGGGACCCCGGGACCCTCACGGGAGCCCCGCGGTGAGGCCCAGGCGCTGGGCGACCCGCTCTCCCGCGGGGGCCCGCCTCAGCCCGTACGGAGGCCCGCACCGGCCGAGAGGGCCCGGCCCGGAGAGGGGGCGGGGCAGGCCAGTGGACGCGGCCCAGGGCGGGTCCCCGCGCTCCACGCCGGCAACCGCCGGTGCCTGCGGGACCGGCGGGAGCGGGGGAAGGAAGAACCGAGGGGCAGCCGGAGTCAGCCCCGGGCTTTCACTCACCAGCCCTCACCGCTCGACGTTGGCCGGGGCTGGACCTCTTCTCCTTCCGCCATTGCTGTTGACGTCCACGTCACTTTGCCGAAAAGTGGACCCGGCGCCGGGACCGACTCCTGAGACTCAATGTCGTAAAAGATCCTCGGAAGTCTGGGAACGAGCTTCGGGAGAGGAAAGGAGAAAGGGAGGAGGCGGCAAGGGACGGGCGGAACGCAACGTCACGACGTCCCCACGGCGAAAGGCGGCGGGGCGGGGAGCGGGGGAGGAGACCTGGTCCGAGCCGCTGCCCTGTCAAAGACTACGAGTCCCAGGGTGCCCCGGGGAGCCGGGCGGAAGGAGGGCGTGGGAGTGGGCGGGGCTCGGCGGGGAGTGGGCGGGGCTCGGCGGGGAGTGGGCGGGGCTCGGCGGGGAGTGGGCGGGGCTCGGCGGGGGAGCCCGACCCGGTCCCGGCCGCGGCGGGCGTCGCGTCTTCGCGTCCTGGGGGCTTGTCCGCCGCCTTGGGCGTCCTACTAAGCAAGACCGGAATTGGGAGCCGCAGCTCGTGGAGGGCGGGGCGGGGCGGGGCGGGGCGGGGGAGCGTCGCGGGGTAGCCGCACCGCAGCCCTTTCCCGCTGCGACCGCGGGGTCCCGGGAGAGTTGGAAGCGAGGGAAGGTTTGCGCGGCGCGGTCCACGGAGCACCAGGCGGGCCGCATGCTTTCGGCCTCAAAACTTGAAAGCTGTTGGGGGAAAAAAGCGCTAAAAATAAAGGAAACGGGCTCTAGGCTCCCGCCTTTATATACAGCTTCCGCATAACCTGGGAGGTCTTCACATTAGGGTTTCTAGAGCTCCCGGGGTTGCAGACCGAGCTGCCGCTCCGCTTCCTCCCACCGCCGTCCTCGCCGTCCGTCCGCCCGTCCGCCCGTCCGTCCGCGCAGCCGTGCCTGCAGCTCCAGGCTCCGTCCGCGCGCCCAGCGCCGTCGAGGCCCCGGCTCTCGGCTCCGTGACTGGCCCCGGGGACACCAGCTCCGGGGGCTGCGTCGGGGGAAGTGCCTGTGCCTGTGCCTGTGCCTGTGCCTGTGCCTGTGCCTGTGCCAGCCCTGCACGCCCCACCCCGAAGTGCAGGTGCCTGGGACGCGTGGCTGCGTCCCCCGAACGGGACGTTAAATGCACAAAACAGACTGCAGAGGGTCGGAGAAGGCGCGGCGTTCGGAAGACGCAGCACGATATACTGTATGGGCAGATGCAGGTGTGCTTTTAAAAATGAAAGGGAAAAAATAAAATAAAAATGAAGGGGAAGGACGGGAGAACTGGAATGAACGGCAGTTCTCACGCAGCCACACAGTAGCGGAAGCAGTGAGAACGGGAGCTTATTCAAAAACGACGGACGCCCAGTGCCCCCAGCCCCCCGCCCGCTTCCCCTTCCACTACCCCTGGGCGACGGGCACTGAGGGGGGCACTTGGGATGAGCACTGGTCTTATGTTGTGTGCCGGCAAATCGAACTCCAATAAAAAAAAAAAAAAAAAGGAAACTTAAAAAACAAAAACGACTGACCGCAGGGGAAAGAGCCGAACTCCAGTCCAACCTGTGCAGAGGTGCTTAGATGGGGGAGGGGGAGACTGGGGCTCAGTAGAATTTTTTTCTTTTATTTATTATTTATGATAGTCACACACACAGAGAGAGAGAGGCAGAGACACAGGCAGAGGGAGAAGCAGGCTCCATGCACCGGGAGCCCGACGTGGGATTCGATCCCGAGACCCCAGGATCGCGCCCTGGGCCAAAGGCAGGCGCCAAACCGCTGCGCTGGGGCTCAGTAGAGCAGAGAAGTGACAAGTCACGGAGGCTCGGCCAGCCGGCTGCGATGAGGCAGCTGCACCTGCTCGCTGGCAAGCTGTGGGGTCAGAACCTGTCCTCCCCCAGAGCTGGGGGGCGGCCCTGTCCTTCCTGATGATTACATTTCAAAGGGATGATTCTCAGGTCACTCTGGGCTGTGGAGGAACCTACTCCCAGTGGTCGGCCCTTTCTAACAGATGCCCAAGAAAGGGAAGCCAGGAGCCTGGGGTCAGGATTGGCTGCAACAAAGAGGAAATTCCCCTGGCGCTTGAACTCTCTCAATCGGGCGGGCGTCTTAGTGGGGGGCTGCATCTCCACGGGGCTAGAGCCCTCCTGGGCACGTGCTCTTAGGTTGCTAGAAACCCTGCGAGAGTTCAGTCACTTGTCTTCGTGCAGAGGTTTGCATGAGTCGTTATCCGCCGAAAGTCCTGCAGCTCTCAGAATTACATTTAGGGAAGGAGAAGAAATGGTTTCAATTATATTTGTAATACTCTGTGTTGGGCCCAAGACTGCGAATCCGAGAAAACCACCAAGGAGCCGACAGGGATGCAAGTACATGAGGGTTTATTAACAAGCTGGAGCTTGGGTCCGAGTATACCCCACGGGGCGGGGCAGGGACTTGAACCCGGAGGAGGGGTACAGCTGGGTGTTTATGGGCTGGTCTAGGGGTAAGGTGGGGTTTTTCTAGGGTGGGGGTGTGAGAATCTCCAGTAAAGAGGTCCCACGAGCTCTTGCTTCCTTATTCCGATAAGCGCTGCTTTGTGCTTTTCTCTGTGGCCGGGCGGGGTAAGGCAGACTGGGTACCTGGTGACCGTGGCCTGGTCACAGTGGCCGGAGGTGGCAGCCCAAGCTCCAATGGCTGGACTTGTGCCGATGTTAAACTTGAATGGCCCTAATTTTCTCGGCCTCCACATTTTGTTTCTTAAGAGCTGGGAAGTGTAGCGCAGTAGGTGTTCCATATTCTTTTAGAGTCTTTGGTATACAGATTTTTTTCCCCATGATTTTAAGACTATTTGACTAAAATAGCAGAAAGCATAGTCCAGCCATTTCATTAGCAACCAAAACCATGTTTACTCTCTTCCCAACAGGGGATGATGCAGAGCCGCATGTTATTATACCCACTTCCAAGCCCAGGACCTTACCAGGATGTTCAGTCCTTCTGTGGGGAAAGTTTCTTTTAACATGGAGATGAGGGTTTTTGGTGACAACCATCAAAAAAGAGTAAAAGGCATGACTCTAGGTCGATTTACCATCCTAATTTCAAGACCTCCACTGCATCACTTCAATTGCTGGTGGGTTTTCAGAAGCTTTTCTAAAATGGTTTTAAACACTATTATTATATTGAGGCGCCTCAGTGACTCAGTTGGTTAAGTGTCTGCCTTTGGCACAGGTACTGATGCCAGGGTCCTGGGATGGAGGCCCCAGGCCAGGGTCCCTCCTCAGTAGGGAGCCTGCTTTTCCCTCTTCCTCTGCCACTCCCCCTGCTTGTGTGCTCTGTCAAATAAGTAAGTAAAATATTCTTTAAATGTTTCAACTTATTAAAAAAATTCTATCAGTTATTTGACAAGCAATTGTTCATTCGCTGAGGTGTTTCCAATCCTCGGGGCTCATGGGTGGCTCAGTGAGTCAAGCGTCTGCCTTTGGCTTAGGTCATGATCCTAGGATCCTGGGTTTGAGCCCCACATTGGGCTCCCTGCTCAGCAGGAAATCTCCCTCTCCCTCTGCCACTCCCCCTGCTTGTGCTCTTGCTCTCTCTGTGTCTCTGTCAAATAAATAAAATCTCATTTAAAAAGGGTGTTTCTAGAAGATCCCTGGGTGGCTCAGCGGTTTAGTGCCTGCCTTTGGCCCAGGGCGCGATCCTGGAGTCCTGGCATCTAGTCCCACGTCGGGTTCCCAGCATGGAGCCTGCTTCTCCCTCCTCCTGTGTCTCTGCCTCCCTCTCTCTCTCTCTCTCTCTCTCTCTCATAAATAAATAAATAAACAAACAAACAAATAAGTCTTTTACAAAAAAGGTGTTTCTAATCCTCAAGTATAATTCATGTTTAGCATAATTAGTGATTGCTTTACACTCTGTGTGGTGAAAATATTATTTCATGAAAAATATGTCACTTGACATTTCAAGCATTCTTCCCCTTATAGAAGTAAAGTCAAAGCTTCTGACTACCCCTCTTTTTACCAAGGCCAGAGCTTCATGAGCATGCAGCCTGTGCAACAGCTCAAGACCCATGCTTAGAGGGCCTGTACTCGGTGTAGGGCTCTGCTATTGCCATCTTGAAATTCCTAATGATTTTGGAACAGGAGGTCTTTTCTTTTCCTTTTGTACAGGCCCTCCCCCACCGGCAAATTACATAGCCAGTCCTGGATAGGGTCAATACAGTATTAATACACACTTGACATTATTTAATGGTAATATTTTCTGGAGTTAGATCATTTGTCCTTTACTCACCCACCTGTTCTGTGTTCTGCTGAGTTCACTCTGAGTTCATGACATTCACCGAGATGACATCCTTTTTTCCTCCAGTGGTAATTCTAGGAATCTGGTTGTTAGGTGAAGTCTTTGAAACTTTGGTTCCTCTTTCTTGAACAGGTTCTACTGGTTTACTTTCCACGGTGTTTGGTGTTTGTTCATGTTTGGCTTGTTAACATCAAAGCTGCAGTTACCACAGGGGAGTCCTCTGCCAAGAAGCCTCTGCTCCTCGTTCTCTTGCTCTGGCTCAGGGTCATCCACACTTTCCCCTCACCTTGCCTCATTTTCTGGCAGGATAAACACCACACTGGGTTGTTTGACTCCAAGCTTGAAGTTTGACTCCAAGCTGCTCCCCCTTGCTAATGAGTGTGTTTGTCATCATAAGCTTTTCTTCTTGCTCTGAATCTGGTTTGTCCACATTTCCCCCAATACACCTCACTTACTGAGATGACAAGGACCACACTAGGACCACAGAACATTTTCTAGATGGCTGCAAATTTTTATGGGTGTAACTTCTGAGTGTTTTGTGCTTTAAAAAAAATCTCACTGTCCTGCCATTTACCTCAATTGTTATGTGTTTAAAAAAATAACTACAAGTTATTTATAAAAAAATAAATACAAGTCCCAACTACATGAGACTACAAGTAGAATTTGTTAAATTTTGTTAGTGGCTCTCTGATTTAAAAAAAAAAAGCCCTTTTCATGAGATAGAGATGATTTTTATTATGAAATCATCTGTCTATATTTTATTACATTCCTCCTTCCTTCTAATTTTAAGAAGATTTCATCCATAAACGAGGAAATCTTTCTGCTCTTGTGTTTCTCTATATCCCTCTGGACCAAAGGGAGTTGGAATCCCCTTGTTTATAACCCAGTGCTGTGCTAAGGTGCTGCTGATGGTGGTGACCGTCTGGGACTGTGCACAGTGGAGCCATTCCAAGATGCGTGTCTAAAAAAGACACACCCGGTCATCCACATAGGATATGTTACCTGCCTGCATTTGTGCAGATAATTGTATCCCCACACCCAGATAGGAAGGTGTAGAATTTTGCTGTATTATCCTTGGACAAAATCAAGTTGCAATTTTTCTAAAGGGAAAATTTAGGTCTCTCTTTTTTTTAAAAAAAAGATTTTATTTGTTTATTCATGAGAGACACAGAGAAAGAGGCAGAGACACAGGTAGAGGGAGAAGCAATCTCCCCGCAGGGAGCCCGATGTGGGACTTGATCCCAGGACCCCAGGATCACGCCCTGAGCCAAAGGCAGGCATTCAACCACTGAGCCACCCAGGTGTCCCAAATGAGAAAATTTAGGTCTCTTGGTTTTAAATAAAACTTTTATAAAAAATAAAAATATTTTCCATCTATTATTTGCTGTTCTATGCCATATAATTATATAATTTATATTTTATTTTGTGTATTTAATTCATATTTTGACACATAGTTTATTCTCAATAAATATTTGTTAAATGAACTAAGGGAGGGGGGTTGAAGTATTTTTGAATGAAGCCATTCACCTAGACCGCTGGTTGGGATTGAGGCAGGTAGGGATTGTGAATTCGTCCGTGTGGCCAATTGTTATGTTAGTTTGTAGAGTTTATTTCAGTTTTCATTATAATATTATTACAGCATTTCTTTTAACAAGAGAGAAATGATGATAGCCTTTGTTCTTTTATTCATATTTGAGCAATCTCTTCTTGATTTTCATGTATTCCTAGGTGAAGGTGAAGACCTAATAAATTGTATTAATCTATTGCCACATTAAAAATTACCCCAAAACTCACTGTCCTAAAATACCGATTATCTCACAATATCTGTGTGTCAGGAATTTAGGAGCAGGTGAGTGGATGTTCTGAGTCAGGGTCTCTTGAGGTTAGTCAAGATGTTGGCCAGGTTTGCAGTTATGTAGTCATCTGAAGGCTTCACGGGGGCTGGAGGATCTGCTTCCATGGTGGCTCACTCACATGCCTGACAAGTTGGTGTTGGCTCAGGGTCCTCTCCAAATAAGTCTTTCCCTGGGCTACTTGAATGTTCTCTTCACATGGAGTCTGCCTTCCCCTAGAGTGAGAGGTTAAGACAGACCAAGATTGAAGTCACAATATTTTTTTGACCTAGCCTCAAAAGTCACACACCCATCATTTCTGCAATATCCTATTGGTTACACAAGTCGGCTCTGTTCAACATGGGAGGGAACTACAAAAACAGCTTGAACACTCAAAGGCAAAAAAATCACTGAGAGCCCTCTTAGAACCTGTCACTTGAAGTAACATGAAATCAGATGCATCGTCATTGTCCAACCAACTTGCCCCTGAGATCCCTGCCCAGAGCATCTCAGCTCTGCTTGAGCTACTTTTCCCCTGAACTTGTGAAGGACTCTTAACAGGCCCCCTCATGCAGGCACTGAGTGATACAGACCGTGTACTCTCACTCTGACAATGATAACCACTTTTGAGTTCTTTTGTAGCCTCCATTACACCAAGTGTAGGGCTGGAAGTATAGATGGAGTCCAGGAGTTCTTGTTGAATATTAAAATATTGATTTCTGTTTCAAAATACTGATTTTTGAGCTTCAGAATTCTAAACTTTCCCAGGAATTTTTCTTTTTCTCCTACAAGGGCAGATGTCTTCATAATTATCAAAATTACTTCAGTTATTTGTGACTTTAAAATCCCATTAGGATCTGCATTCCAAGATTCTTTAAACTACTGAAGCCCAACATTTAATTTAATGATAAACAAAACCAAGTCAATTCCCATTTACAAATGACAAATCAACGGTTGGCAACAATTTCAACATCTGCTTTTAATTCACTTAAAAGCGTTAAGCAAACAGTGATTAAAAAGAAAAACCTAGAAACTATAGTATTTCTCCATTATTCTTCTAGTAGTTGTCCTTACTAACCAAAGCTGACTTTTAGTAAGTTATGTAGATGGACCTGAAATAAACATTTTGATGGAGATTGACCCATTCCTGGGTCTGGGATGGTTATGTTTTAATGTGGGAGCCTTTCCTCATTCCAAATTTGTTCTCAAATATTCCAGACAAAGGACTCTTGTTAGGGTTGAGTCACTGCTTGTTGGAAATAGGGATAGTAAACAATATATTAGCTGGAACTAGCCTAAATTTTAAAAACTTACTGCTTTTTGTGAGTTCACACGCACAACCTATAAACAGTATTCTTAGACAATGGCTGTGCTATTCTTTATGTGTGATCTGTCTCCAGTCACCTCATGCTCTTATACTCACCCTTTGTTTTAGGTATATGTCTTGCCAAATAAAATAGTGAGCAAGGAACCATCTAAGGTTATTAAATTTAGTTACATGATATATGCTCTTTTAACAATATCTATAAAAAATACAGATACGTTATATTTTCTATTGAATATGTTATTTCCCGGCTGGTTTCTCCAGTACCCACACTTTAAGTTGTACATTTTATCACTGTCATTTCCACAAGCTAAATCCACTTAAGAAGAATTCTTAGGATATAATGAATATGAAAATGGCCACAGATACAAAAGCATTTTTAAAAATTTAGATTAAAAAATTTCTTCCCTATAATTTTTCTCATACTTTTATTCTGGACAATATCAACTATATCTCTGTTGTTAATTTCAACCTATAACCTGATAACTCCTATATTTGTATCTTAGCTTTAGCCTTTCTTTTGTACTTTCCATCTGTAAATCCAGCCATCTAACTAGGAGCTTACACAGGATGACCCACAAACTCAACATTTCTAAACCCAACTCATCACGTCTACCTGCTTCCCAATCCTTACCATTTCTGCAGAGGTGAGTGGTTTTATCATATTTCCAGCCCTCTAAGCCAAAAACTTGGGAACTATTCTATCTTCTTTCCTTCTTCCTTTCCATAGGTCATCAGGGTTTATTGATTTTTTTTTCTTCCCTAAACATAGTTCAGGTCGGGTCCTCCTTCTTCTTCACCCCCACAGATTTTCTCTTGCTTTTGTTCCTTGTTATGTTTTACATGAAGGGATCCTTAATTAGTTTCTACCTTCTCCCACTCTTCCCCAAGTAGTCACAGCCTCTACACCAGGAGTTCAAACTGGCAGCACTCAGACTGGATTTACTTAACAGCTTTTATTTTGTTGTTATTTTTAATTAAAAAAATTTTTATTTTTAAGTAATCTCCACACCCAATGTGGGGCTCAACTCAAAACCCTGAGACCAAGGATCACATGCTTTACCAACTGAGCCAGCCAGGTGCCCCTCTTGTTATTTTTAAGTATTTGAATATGTTTTTTTTTAAAGATTTTATTTATTTTTTTTTGAGAGAGAGGGAGAAAGAGAGAGATGGTGAGAGAGAGAGCAAGAGACACAGGATGGAGGAACAGGCTCCCCACTGAGCAGGGAGCCCACCCTGGGACTCTGGGATCATGAGTCAGCTGAAGGCCGACCTTAACCAACTGAGCCACCCAGGGACGCCCACTTGAATGAATGTCTCCCCTATCACTTTAGACTACACCCCGATTTACACATTTGTTAATTGCTTGGTCCTCACAGGTGTTTGAATTTGTGCCTCGTGCTGCGTATTTTCTGAAAAGGGAATCTACACAAATCTTTTCATTGCTCATCATCCTCCATAAAGAATGTTCAAATCCTTATCAATGATGCAATCCTCTCATGATCACAAGTAATTTCCTTTCTGCACTTATAACATATACATCAGTCACTTTATAAGGCCTCAGATATATCCTGCTGCTCTGTGACTTTATGATTTTGTTAACTGCTTATTTTCTCTTGTTACATTTTATGAACTTCTCTCAACTGGTTATGCCTGGCCTTAACCCTTGAGCAACATTTTCTCTGTAACCCTTTCTCTCAAGCAGAATTATTCATTTCTGCCTTTTGTTACCACTTCCCCTTAAATACAACTCAAGCACTGCATTTATCACACTTTAATTATGTGTTTATATATTTGTTTTCTCCAATAGTGATGAGATCCTTGAGAACAGTTCAATATGTTTACATTTCCAGAGCCTGGTATAGTATTGGATACCTACCTGTGATTTGCTCTAGGAGTAAACGAATGAATGGAGAGTATATATACATATAACATTATTACTGCAAACACTTAAAGAGAATTTACTATGTGTGAAGTATTGTTTTAAACACTTCCATTAATTCATTTAATCCTCCCTATGAATTAGCAATGAATGAATATGAAATCTTAGTTTAAGTAAAATTAAATAGGCAAGTAATTTTTCTATCTTCATGATTTAAGAAGCACTTGAAAAGTAGGAATAATTACTGTTTGTAATAAATAAGAAAATAAGTTAAGGAAGATACACAAAAGATGAAAAAGAAGGAAGACATTACTTCAGGGTCCTTATTATATATCACAATTAGGTGTGATTGTTCAGTTGGATATTTCTGCTTCAGCTTAATGAAATTCTTCCAGAGTGAGGCAAAATCTTATGCCATCATTTTTAGCTTGAAGCAAAGAATTTCTTCCTCCCATAAACATATTATTTTAAAAATTATTGACTTGTACAAAGTATTTTATGATAATTTGTCAGCAGAAACAAAGCCTATGCTCCTACATAAGGATAATGCTTAAATTTTGCCTAGTCATAGTCTTTACAGTGTCCAGTGAGGCTCTACATAATTTGCGACCCTAACATTCCCTTTATCTGGAAAGCCCTTTCCCCAGATATTTTTATGGTTCTCCTGGCTAAAGAGTATTCAGGTAGGCCAAGATATGGGAAACAAAACAGGGAGGGAGTGACCTGATCTAATGCAGGAAAGCACCAGGCATGTTGGTGGTTGGAAGAGCAAGCCAGTGATGGTACAGAGAGCTCAGCCAGGATTTAGTAAGGAATGGGGAGCCACTGAAGATTTTCAAATAGGAGAGAACCTCAGAGAGGACTCTGAGAAGAAAGCTTCACAAAGATGCATGTTGACATGAGTTCCAGTTGGACTGAAGGTGGAAGAAGTTGAAGATAGATCAGGCCAGAGGCAGTAAGATCCTAAATGGGGATATTAGCCACAGAGCTGGAAGAAAAGTAATGCAAGTGAGAAAGACTGTGGGCAGAAAAAGATTATGAAAGACAAGGGAAGGAGGGGGGATGGTCCAGATGATGATCACAGCAGAAACGGAACTCTCAGAGGAGGATCTGTTTGAGAGAAGGGTTGGATGGAAATGGGGTACATTAATTAGGCAGTTGCAAATAAGGCCATGGCCCAGAATGTTGGATTGAGTTTAGTAGAATTCTGATTCTTGTTCTTCCTGTAGATGAGAATTAGCAAATCAGGAGACAGAAAATGGCAACGGGCACTCTTGTGCCACTATGAGAGGTGAATTGGTGCAATGTTTTTGGATGGGAATTTGGAAATGTTCATCATCCAAAATATGCATACTACCCTCTGAATAATTTTCTTTGGAATTTATCTTATAGAGATATTTGTACCATCCAACAAGAGTACATACAAGGATGCTCACTGATGTATTGTTTGGCTTGTAGTAGCAAAAAATTGGAGTCAACCTAATTATCTATCATTGAATGTGCATCTGTTTGATGAAATAACAGGTCACTACTAAAATAGAATAAGGTAAAGCTATGTATACTGACATGGAAAGACATCTGTCATAAAAACAAATTGTAGGATGTGCCAACTAGATGTGAGAAATCCTTTTACAATGCAGTATATATATCAAATGATCACCACTTTAAATAACTTACAAATCTTATTTGTGAATTATACGTCTATAAAGCTGAAAAACATTCAATAAAAAATAAAACTCTTAAACATTTTCTCCCAACCACTAACCATATTCCACTGATGTATGTTCTAGTTCTATAGAGCTTTAAAAAGCTAGGTCAAATAGCAAGTCACTTCTCCCTAGGAATTGTGTTAAACATTTCATTCATTTACTTTTAATTAAAACAAAAGAATTGGGGGGGAAGCAACTGGTATTTGGGGTATGTCTGGTATTTCTTTCACTTTTTCCAAAAAAAATGGAGATACCCATTTTTGGATGTGCACATAGAAAAGTGTAAATGAATATGAAGAATATTATTAACCATGAGAGTTTTTGATGGGTAGGACTCAAGGGAACTTTCATTCTATACATCTATGAACTGTTAGAATTTTTTCCACTGAGCGTGTATTACCTTTAATAAGAATAAAAGCTTGGAGTTTTAGAAAAACCACTTACAGATTTTTTTTTAAAGGAGGTCAGCAGTTCTTAAGGAGGATCAGTCACTGATACTAAAGTTGAGATCATAAAAGTCAATCAAAGCAGGGGTGCCTGGGGGATACAGTGGGCTAAGAGTCTGACTCTTGGTTTCAGCTCAGGTAGTGATCTCAGGGTCATGAGATCAAGCCCACATTGGGCTCTGGTCAGCTGGAGTCTGCTTGGGTTTCTCTCTCCCTCCCCCTCCGTCCCTCCCCACGTCACTCTTGCTTGCTCTCTTTCTCTCCCTCAAATAAATAAATCTTGAAAAAATAAAGTAGATCAAAGCAAGCAGGAAAACATATGAGGGACCTAACGCATGAGAGAACATGGTACATGGTATATAGGTGTATGAAAACGAATGGAAAAGGCCCTGCTCAGTTTGGCATTTCCTGAACATTCTAGTCCCCTCTCATACCACATTCCCCTCTGCCTCCCACTAGCTTCCCCACTGTTCTTTTAATAAGCCTTCAACACATGGCCTTTGCTCATGCTTTCTCTGGAAAGATCCCCTCACTGTTGCACACACACAGACCTGAAAACACACACATCCTACTTTTATTTTGCATCTCAGTTCAAACGTCACTGCTCGGAGTACTAGAGCAGTGTTTTGGAATATGGCAGGCCCCTTTATTCTATGTGGCTTTAGATACACTATATGTGATCCGAATGGGAGAATTAAGAAATTAAAAATGAGACAAGGGAAGGAAAGCAGAGGATGAGGCTATATTTTGGTAATACTCATGTTTCAAAACATTCCTTCCTGCTATATATTGTCTTGTCTACCGGCTTCTCCTACTTTTAAGTTTGCTGTGGTTCTTCACAGATATTGCCTATGCATGGAGGTAAGAGAAATGAAATGAGTAGACTGTGAACTCCTTCAGTATTATAATTACTATTTCCATCATTCATTGAGCCTTTAGAGTCTACCCAGTTCTGTTTGAGACCCTGGGTGGAATGAGCTTATTTGGCCTCCATTTTTCCTCCCTGTAGCTCTTCTGTTCTCTTATTCAGTGCAAGCTCAGCCCATCACTGTGATTTTCAAGCTCCTGAACATTGGAATAACCTGTATGGCTTAACAAACCCACACACAACAACGTGGGAACTTCACCCCCAGGAATCCTGGCTCTGCTGGTCTAGGGTCATACCCAAGCACAGTAGTATCCTAAAAGTTTCTTGGGTGATGAGGATGTGCAGGCTGCACTAAGAGCCAACTGGCCAAGGGATGCTCGGGTGGCTCAGCGGTTTAGTGCCTCCCTTCAGCCCAGGGCGTGATCCCGGAGTCCCGAGATCGAGTCCCATGTCGGGCTCCCTGCATGGAGCCTGCTTCTCCCTCCTCCTGTGTCTCTGCCTCTCTTTCTGTGTCTCTCATGAATAAATAAATAAAATCTTAAAAAAAAAAAAAACAACCACTGGCTTGAAAGATCTCTACTTGGAGAACTGGAAAACGCTTGACTTCTGGAAATCAAAGCCTGAATGGTTCCGACGGCACTGGTCAGTTGGTGTCAGACCTGCTTCATTTGACAAGCTAGAGGCTGAAGGCAGAAAGCCCGAAAGGTGATAGTGGAGACATCTTCCCTGAATTAAGGCTGAT